CTCGGACAATAGCAACTAAATTAGGCTGCTATCCCTTTAAAACCGAATGCACAGCTGCAATGGATGCAATGTACTGATGATACACGTTCTCCCTACTGTTTACGTTCACTTAAGACCTAATCAACGGTGTTTATGTGAATACTCATCAAAGCAGACAATTCAACATTATTTTGTGTGTAATTCTCCGTTCATGCGACACGAAAGAGTACTCGCACGCTGTGAGGCGAGCTTTCTGTGTGTGTATGCTTCAGTGTCTGCGCTCAGAAAACCAGACCGAATTGAGTTCTCTCTTGCGTCGTCAGATTTATCCATATGTCTGCTCTTCTCTTACTCCCACATATTGACATTTTTTTACATTTTATGAGACGTGCAGCCAGTGTATGTTAGCTTATGTCCCGCCGGTTCATATGTACGCATCTAACCTCCGAACCACGCAGCAGATTCGTTCTGAATGAATCATGAAGTTTTTATTCAATGACGAAAATGCCAATAGATTAGTTTTTGTCATTCAAAAAGAGTTTTAGTTCGTTATCGTCTCGTTGTCGTCGGTGAAAAAAATGTCGTTGACAAAAATTATGACGAAAATTATTCGTCAACGAAATTAACACTGCATTATACATACTTCACATGCACTATCAGCTCTTTCCATCCACACAATTTTGGGATTTCACATAAAAAGGCTAAATAAAAATGGAAAGTTGTGCATAAAATGTCCATAAAAATATATGCACTCACACTGAGGAGGGTCATTTTTTATTTTTTTTTGTAAGAAAACATGCATATAAACTGATGAAAACTCAACTACCTACTAAACTCCTTGATGCACAAAAAAAAAACCTCACGTGACTTTGCCTCAGCAGATTAACTAATCTTATCGCACATCATTTCAAATATTGTTTTATTCACAGTCTGTCATGAAAATTATTTGGTATAATTGTCTCACATGATTGCATTCCCAAACTTCAGAAAACATGACAGCGTTTGTTAACAGGGTTACAACAATAGTTACTAAAACTGAAAATAAAGAAATAAATTAAAATGAATGAATGAATGAAAATTCAAACTATTAAAAAATTGTTACTTGAAATGAAATAAATGTTAACTGAAATAAAATAAAAAATGAAAAAATGTTTTATTGCAGCTAGTTTCCAAGGCAATATTTCTCATTTTTATTTAGTTTAACCTGATGTACTGAAATAACTAAAACTGAAAAATACTAATTAAAAAAAAAAAAGATAGCAACATATATAAGAAAAAAAAACTAACTAACAAAAAGCTAAAACAAAATGAAAATAGAAAATATGAAAATAAAAATGGATTCAAAATATTAATAAAATAAAATAAAAAATAATAATAAAATTCAATGAATAATCTATAAAATCTCAGTGATACTAAAATAACACTGTTATTGAATCTGTGCACTTTTAGTCACTTATTATATTGGGATAAAAGTGTCACATGTTTGTGACTTGTCACAATGGAACTACTTATTATTTTATTACTGATACTTTACACCAATTTCTCAAGAAGTTAAAGTTCTGTTCTCTTGAATACACGGTGCTTTATTTGCAAATACGTCATGCAATATTTAAATTCATTGCTCAAGTTTAATTTGCAGCTCTGGATGAAAACGTAACTACTGCATTGTTGTAACAGTACAGGTAGTTAGATATAAACATATCTACAGTTTTGCCATTACTGTAGTTTACACACATCTATAGCGCTCCTTGTGGCAACACTGAGAATGCAATGTGATCTAACACAATTAATGTAGCGATGCATGAAAGCACACTACAGTTGCGTTCACATATCTGAATATAGAGCACTTCAGGCCCTGCATCCATGAGAAACGGACAGAGATCCCAAACAGCAATGACAGATTCATCTCTACAATCAGAAGAGTTGGAAACAGAAACACTTTGCATTGCTGTGAAATGACTAAAACGCAACACAAACACTCATACATGCATGCCAGTGCAAACACACACAGCGTTCTAGCTTTCCTAAAGAGAACTGGTTATCTAAAGAAGGTCTGATAATATTTTTTTTGGTCTCTTAGGCCGGTTTTCTCAGTCGAACCCAACACTGTCTCCTTGTGTCTCTGTTTGACTTGGCCTGAGTGCAGCTCATTGAGATTGATGAAGACAGCATCATCTGTCTTTCTTTCTGCATTCTTGTAATAGTCGTTGGTCATCGTTATGCTGTAATCTTAACGGTCATTAACCGCAGGATGCAGACGATTAAACACACACTTGAGTGAACGAGTGAAGGAGCTTCAGCCTGATGATAGAAGAGAAACTTCTGCTCGAGTGCTGAAGGAGACTGAAATCTGACTTAGACTGATGCTTTGGTAATACCACGAGTCTTTGCCATTTATTGTGGAAAAGTCATAATATCATGTTTTTTTTCTGGACATTTACCATAGTAATGCTAAGCTTTCCTGTAGCTCAAGCAGTAGATAGTGGCACCAGTAACGCCAAGGTCATGGGTTTGATTCCCAGGAAAAGCATGAACAGATAATATAAATGCAAATTGCTTTGGATAAAATGTCTGCCAAATGAACAGAAATACCATAGTGTTTAGGATAATAGAATAATACTACTTTATTTATGTATGTTTGGACAATTTGCAAAGAAATAAAATGGAAATAAAACTATCAAACCTTTTAATTACTTATAGTGCCTATGCACAGGGGGAAAAAAAAGTTGTTAACAAAGAAAGAAAGTAAGAAAATAAATAAATACATATTTTAAATATTAGATTAGACTGAACAGAGCTAAATGCACAGAACCAATTAAATTTACTGCAAAATTGAATGTAATAAATAATTGAAAACATTTTTTTTTAATTATTTTTAAAAAACATTGCATTATTGTGTTTTACATTTTAGACTGTTGGTTGTTATTTTTTAATGTAATAAATCATTTTTTAATTTTTTTTAAAATTATTTTTAAAAACATTGCATTATTGTGTTTTACATTTTAGACTGTTGGTTGTTAGGTTATTTTAGGTGCCTAACCAGGGACAAACAAACAAACAACAAACATTTTTATAGGGTTTTTAACTTTATTGTCATCTTGCAGAATTAAAGAACTAAACTCAATTGAACAAATAATTTTTTTTTTAAATATGTAAACTACATTTTATATGAATGAATTCATTTATTAAATAATTTTATTTTAAAATAAATAAATAAATACATATTTTAAACATTGTTGTACATTTTAGACTATTTGTTGGTTGTTACATTTCTTAGGTTCTTAGTAAAAGTCTAACCAAGGACAAATGCTATAAGATAATCTGCTCATCAAAATTGATTAATTAAAAAAAGATGAATTATTAACAGTTATTCTATGCTGTCCCTTTCAAATAAACAACAAACAAGTTAAATGATTTATTTAAAAAAATGACACAAGACAGCTTTCAGAAACCGTACTTTCTGTAAGTGTTTGGTGTGTTTGTGCTGATGTGGTTCTGCCTGACCCTGTTCATGAGCTCCACTCATCCGCTGCTAACGGGGAGCACATTTTTCATGGGACTGGTATGCGGCCCAGATGAGGGGGTCAGGAAACAGCTGGTGACGCAGCAGTGGCTCCGTCCGTCCCAACGAGCACCACTCGATTTCACTCCTGACAGTCCCATCGCAGATATCGCTCACGTCTTACTCACACGCACAGAAACTCCTCATGACACAACAATGAGCTGCAGAAACGCATGAGTAACGGGACTTTCTGTACCGGTGCACTCACATTTGAGAGAAACGGGGATCAGCTGCTGAACATCTGTGTGACTACAGCCCCGACTATATATATACATATATACAAAGTCCTGCTTCAGATAAGCGTCTGTGCCGGTGAACTACAGCCACCTCTGACTTCTACTAATGTTTGGGTTGCACTGCAAAATACACGTGCAAAATAATTCATGCACAATACATTTTTGTAAACACTGTGCTTATACTGCACATAGCTTACATAAATTATTTATCATTAAATATATAATTATTTTATGTACTATGCATAATACTATTAATATTGATAATTACACATACTGTATATGTTATAATAAATAGCATAAAATATATCATATCATTATTTTATATAGTATACAATTTAG